TCAAATGATTCACAAAACACCACCAATTGATTGGAGAACTTGAGAGAGAGGTTAGAGACACTCAAGAATCGGCTATAGTTTCTCTAAGATCACTAGTGTGTCCGATTTGAGGCCAAGGGGTTACATATATATAGTGTAGAATTCCAAGGGTTATGTGTAAACCCTTATTCTTACACTTGGGCTTGTAATGGACCAACACTATATGGATACTTACATAATCTTAGCCCATCACTAATCAATCATGGATTATTAGCCCAACCTATATATATATATATATATATATATATATATATATATATATATATATATATATATCATTGATTTACACAATCAGCCCATGTATATTTAATTAGTCTCTTTTGATCACTAAATTAATTCCAAATTAATTCTTGATCAATACTAATTAAATAATATGATTCCTCAATTAATATATTATATTTATAATATATTAATAAATCATAAATAACCTCTTTCTCAAATGTCTATCCTATCAGATTGTTCTGGTGAATGTAACCTAAAATTGACCATGCTACTCTCAGGTCAAGTACATACCAATTATAGTAATGGGCTTATACACCTAATCCAACACATTATTCCACCAGAAAAGTTTCCTTTTTGCAACATAAAATTCAACTAGAAACCAACAAACATTTTTTATACGAAGTATTTTAACATTAAAAGAACTGATACCTTGAAAATAAGGTTATTGCCAAACCTTCAAATAATTGATTTCTTCTGTCATACATAAAGAATCACGTGAAAAGAGCTGATACTAGAAATTAGGGCTATTAACAAACCTTCAAAACAAGCACCTTATTAATTTCGAGTTTTTCAAGGAATTTGATGCGATAGAAAATAGGAGAGAAATTACCGTCAAAGTTGAACATCATCTCTCTCGATTCGATGGTGGTGGTGAGTGGTCCCACAATCCCTTATTTGTACCCTTGATTGAAATTAAGAATTACTTGACTGATTTATGCTCTAATACTTATGGGTTTATCTCTAACATAAACATCAAAGTAGCAAATGCCCTTTTTAGATTATAGGTGTCATTCCTAACCGAACACAAATGAGTAATCAATGAGTTAATAAGAGTTTTACTTGGTAGTAATAAAGATGGAAATGAAAGAGATTTGAAACACTTCCAAGCTTCATCTGTGTTATTTTCGTGGAGAAACAGTTGGATAGTGGATTCGAAAACACCGTGGTCGATGATAGTAAAATAGAGAAGTGGTAGAAGGAGAGGGAAGCCAATTATTGTTTCTTACCCGATTGACTGCAGACCATTACAAAAGAAGAGTCGGGGTGTGAAATTAAGAAAGGGATATAAGGAATCAAACCATTTGTGGTGTTTTGTTGTAATTGGTAGTGAGTGAGTTTGGGAAGAACACATCGAAGAAGGGGATTGAAGGGGGAAAGAGACGATGGTTGAAAGTAATTAGTGTTTGTGGCGTCTGGATCAATCTCGCTTTGTGGTGGTGAACTGATGGGAGGAGCACATCGTGTCCAAAAGAGCAAAGTCCATAGCAGATGAAAAGAACACATAGGCAGACATTGACCAACGAGGTGACTAAAATGTGATTAATAAGCACATCTAACGACATATATTAATATATATTACCAATTTGTTAACGTTTAACGTTAAATACAAATAAAAAGAGGAAATAGAAACAGTAAAATAAAGGGGCGTAAAAAGTTTTGGGGCCAAAATCATATTACCCAAAGCCAATGGGAGGTAAATTGCCAAACTTTGCAATTTCTGTGGCCAAAATAAGATCCGGTAAAACTATATTATTTTTAAGGTTTTCTGAATTAATATGTATATATTAATAGTCCTTGGAACAACATTTTATGCAAAACAGATACTTAACAAAGTTAATGACATTTAGATTTTATATGATTATTTGATACTTATGCTTTGACATAAAGGCATAAGAGAATTAATTTATATAGATTCCATATATTGTTTTTGTTGAGGACATGATTGTTGATACAATATTACGCTCGTAAATCCATTTTTTTTCTTTAAAGAATATAAATAACGAAAATTATCTTTCATTTTGACAAATTGAATAATTTTGAGGGATAATGTCACTGTAGCACATGAAACTTTTTAAATTTGGCTAATTTGGCCATTAAAGTTGTTTTTGGTACATTAGACCATTAAACTCGTATATGACCTATTAGTTTAGTCATTTTCCCTACTTTTAGATGGTTTCCCGGTTGACATTTTATATATGTCAATTAATATATATTTTTTGGCTAATCCGATGCCACGCCAATAAATGATATACGAAGCTTAAAGCCTTTCATCTTCAGCTATCGAACTTCACTCGTCTTCATTATTCATTTGTAAAGAAACTGATTTAGGGTTTGTGAAGCATTTCTGTGATCGAGCTGAAGAACCAAAGAAGTCGCAAAAATTGCACAATCGGAACCTAAGGCAGTGTTTGAGATGGTGGAACTCAACTATCAAGGGGTATTTAATCGAAATCCTTTCTCTTACATTGGTGGTGTGAAAACCATGTTCATTGATGTCGACTTTTCTTCTATGACTTATTCTGAGTTTGTGACCTTCTGCGAACATTTCATGCATGAAGAGTGTAAAAAGTTTTACTACTGTGAACCAGACAATTTCCTGATGGAAGGGCTTAGTCCCATTTTAGATGATGTGGAATATGTTGCTTTTATTTTTGATGCTTATGGAATAGATGGTGTAATTTCGGTTTATGTGGATTATGTTGGGGTTGGTGTTGATGGTGGTTTGATGATGAAGACAATAATGATGATGAACATGAGTCTTGTAATGATGGTGAAAATGAAGATAACATAGATGAACTTAGGAATGTTGCCTTTGATTTTAATAAGGATGTAGTTCATATGAATAGGACATCAAATAATCCTTTCTTGAGTAAGTTATGTGTTGATGAGGAGGAGGATAACAACATTGTAGATGATGATAATAGGAGAGAAGTTAAACCTAACATCCAAATTCGTTCCATATTTAATGAGTTATTACAATGGAAAAAACAAAAACCAGTTATAGGAATGAGATTTAAGGGTCCAGGGCAAGTAAAATCAATGTTGTGCAACTATGCTGTAGCTAATGGATATCAATTGTGTTTTGAAAAAAATGATAGGAAAATACTTTTAGTAAGGTGTAGCAAGGGTGCTTGCACATTTAGATTATGGGCTTCTTGGATGAGTGATGAAGAGAGTTTCCAAATCAAGTCACTAAAAGCTGATCATAATTGTGCTAGGAACTTCAAGTTTGAATCATTGGTGACATATGCATGGATTGGGAGTCACTGTACCAAAGAGATTGTACAAAGTCAGAAAATGAGTGTAAGGAAGCTTAGGGTAAAGGTAATGACCAAGTTTGATATCCAAGTTAGTATGGGCCAATGTAGGAGAGCAAAAAAGTATGCACTGAATCTTGTTGAAGGTAGCCTTGTTGAACATTATGGTAAGCTATGGTCATATGGGCATGAGATTTTAAGGACAAATCCCGGGTCAACTGTGAACTAGATGTGGAGGATGGTCCAGATGGAAAGAAATATTTTAGCAAGTTCTATGTTTGTTTTCAAGGAGTTAAATAAGGTTAGATTGAAGGGTGTAGAAGGATAATAGGTCTTGATGGATGTTTTCTTAAAGGTGTTTGAAAGGGGGAATTGTTTTGTGCTATTAGGAGGGATGCAAATGACAAGATATATCCTATCTCTTGCGCAGTGGTTAGTGTAGAGAACAAGCATAATTGGAAGTGGTTTTTAGAGCTTATCATTGATGATCTAAACTTGAATTTAGGCAATGGCTTAAGTTTAATGTCAGACCAACATAAGATTAGTATTTTACATAGTAATTCATTTATATTTATTTTATACTATCTGATTTAAACCTTTTTATTAATACAAGGTTTGATACAGGCTATTAAAGAGTTGCTTCTATATGTAGAGCACATGCAGTATGCTAGATATATTTTCCAGAATTTGCAGAAGAGATTCAGTGGTACCATATATCATACCTTGTTTTGGAGAGCATCTAAAGCCACAACTAAGCATGCTTTTAAAGTTGTGATGAAGGAAATTAAGACATTGAACCCAGATGCCCATTAATATCTCATGGAGAAAGATCCAAAACATGGTCAAGGGCTTTCTTTCAAGCTGGAAGGTGTTGTGATGCAGTTGAAAATGGATTCTCTGAAAGTTTTAATGTTGTAATAGTAGATGCCAGGAAGAAGCCTATAATAACCATGTTAGAGGAGTTAAGATTATACATGATGGACAGAATGTACAACATGAAAGTAAAGGGACAACAATAGGGAAATTATATTTATCCATAGATAAGGGATAGGGTGAATTTGCTTAAAATTTCAGAGGCATTATCAGGTACTACCTAGTGGATTAAACCATTTTGAGGTAAGGGGAACAACAAATGCATATGATGTGGACTTAGAAAGGAAAACATGTTCAAGTAGGTTGTGGCAATTGAATGGATATGGAAATGCTCATTCTGTAGCTAGCATATCCTATCTTAATAGGAATGTAGAAGCCTATGTAGACAACATGTTTAGAACCACCACATTTAGGAAGGCATACAATTACAGAATTGCACCCATGAATGACAGTGACATGTGGCCAAAGACAAATTATACTCCACCATTGCCTCATATTAGTAGAAGGATGCATGGTAGGCCAACTACTAAGAGAAATAAATCCACTACAGAGAATACAAGAAATACACAAGGTTTCTAAGTCTGGCAAGAAAATTAGATGTAGTATATGCAAGGAGATAGGTCACAACATGGCCATATCTCCACAGAGAAGGCCCCAAAAGTTAAATGTGAAGAAACAGAAAAAACAAAAAGTTTGTGTGAAGTAAAATGCAGGACAGGTAATACCATTTAAAATTTAAATTTATTTATATATGATTTGCCACTAACATAATTATATCATGCCATATAGGGTAGTACCAGTTAACCACAACAACATGAAGAGGTTGAAATGACTCTAGTTGAGATGGATACTACTCAAAATGATATGCAAGTTACTCCTACTGATGTTGATTCTAGTAGTGCAGGGCATTTTAGTCAGTCTATGCAAGTTACTCCACCTAGAAGCTATGAAGGTGATGAGGGTGTTGTGGGTGAGGAAGCTGAGGAGGGTGGTAATGTTCAAGATGATGAGGTTATTCCTAATGTCCAAGTTGTTGATAATGTTCAAATTTAGGAGGTTGTTCATATTATCCAGGTTCAGCAGGTAAGGGTTAAACCAATTTCAGAGATTTTGAAGATAATAAGGAGAAAAAAGTCAGAGAGAATTTTGAAGCTGAAATTAGGGAAGAGAATTGGTAGTGTTGATGATCCAGGAAATTCTAAAGGGAAAAGCTAATTGATTAGTGCTGATTTTTCCTTTGTGTTATTTGGATTTAAAGTATGTGTGTTACGATGATGGTAATTTGGATTTAAAGTTTGTGTATTAGGATGATGGTAATTTGGATTTAAAGTATGTGTATTTGAATACATGTGATGTGATCATTTATGTATGCATGGTGGCTTTTTAAGTTAACTCATGACATAAAAGGGTATTTTGGTCATTTATGTATGCATGGTGCCTTTTAAGTTATCTCATGACATAAAAGGGTATTTTGGTTATTTATGTGTGTATGGTGCCTTTTTAAGTTCACTCATGACATAAAAGGGTATTTTGGTCATAAATGTATGCATGGTGCTTTTTTAAGTTAACTCATGACATAAAAGGGTATTTTGGTCACTAATGAATGTATGTTGCCTTTTGAAGTAAACTGTTGACATGAAATGATATTTTACTCACTTATGAAAGTATATTGCCTTTTTAAGTAAGCTTATGACATATGGCTTTGAATATTTCTGCATGGAAAAATTTGGAATAATGTGCATGCAAGTGAGTGTGTTATATGGTCTTGGATATGGTTCTATAATGGGTTCAAAGGTCCCATTTTTCCATTATAAAAACACCCACTGACTATTAACTACAAATGGTCCCCATACTCATTGTGTACTTCCACATGGACCACTTTCTAATTTTATCCCAATATAATAACATACACAACAACCAATTTAATTAAATATAATTGTTGGGAGTACAGACCATGCATATGTACCAATAACATCAACATCTGATTATACAAAATGCCCTACAATTGGGACTTTCAATTTTTTTTACATTAATTATCATATGCCCTTTCATTTGGGACTTACCAACTTACAACATTAACACATCAGTGTTGATATCCCTAACATGTAACTAAAAGCAGCTTCAAAACATATAAAATATCCATCATTACCGACTTTCTAGTTTTTCTTTACAAAAAATACAAAAGCTTACAACAACCACCATAACTAAATATAATCACCCCTTAACTTCAAAACACAAAAGACCAAGTAAGCAAACAATAAGGCAACTATCATCATGTACCTGCCTATTTCTTTCTTTGCATCATAAACTTATTTCTCACTCTTTGCCACCTTATACTGCTCCTATGACAACAAGAACTCCACTTTAGCAATCCTTCTCCTCAAATTGTTCATCTCAGACAGATCCTCTTTAGCATCCAATTTCTGATTCAGAGAATATAGAAGGTTTTTATAGTACCCTTCTTCATGTTCTTCGTTTTCCATTCAAAGAAGCTACATTTCTTCAACCTAGTCTGTAAAAAGCCAATGCATCAATAAATGAAAATGATTTGATTTGGATAGTAAATAAAGATTAAGAAAATCAGCTACCTTTAATGTAATAAGGAAATAATCACAAATAATCGTCAAGAAGAAAATTAAATTAGGGTTTTTTTACAAAATACAAATCGACCATGATCGTCTTTACACGAAGAAACACACAGCAAACCCTAAAATACTAAGCTATCAAGATCAGGATTATTGGGACCTACCAAACTGTTTTGACAATTCCAGAAATGCTTCCCATGGTTTTTTATCTTCCAACACGTTCGTTCTTTAGCTGGAACGCCACAATCACAAAGCTTTACCCCTTCTCGTGTCTGAACACGAGTCATTTGTAGTTGATTCCTTGAAGTGGATGAGCTCGAAGACATTGTTCTTGAGGACCGAAAGAGTTGGTGGAAAGGATTTGAATTTTCATAAAAGGGTAAGAAACACTTAAATGAAGGTCCGATTGAGGGTTTCAATTAATAAGGCTTGTTCGACAACTCGACTTCTTCGACACATCAGTATCCCATGTAAGCTTATTGGACACATCAGCGTACCATATAAGCATTGTAACCGTAAACCTTCTAATTTTATAGATAATGGTGTAATTAAAAGGTAAAAATGAAGTTTAGTGGTCTAATCTACCAAAAAAAATCTTTAATGGCCAAATTAGCTAAATGTAATAAGTTTCATGTGCTACAGTGACATTATCCTTAATTTTGAATTAAATAATGAATTGTAAAGATAATAAATTTTATTATATATATATATATATATATATATATACACACACACATACATACAATCACTTCAAATTTTTGTATACATATTTTCATTTAACTCATTGATCGTGTTCATAATATATCATTATGACCAGTAAATAATCTCTATCATAATAGTATATTTTGGAAATTATAAATAAGAGGGTGTTTGCGATTTCACTTTGAAGTTAAAAATAACTTTTGCAACGAAGACTTATTGACTTGTTAAGGTGAGAAAAAAGTTTTCTAAAAAAATGTTTGGATTAGTTTTTTAATGATAAAAATTAATAAGTTAAAAAATATTTGGTTTAAAATTGTCTTTTGTTTGTTTTTTTAATCTTAATAAATTATAAGTCTTTTCAAAAAGTAATAAATTGTTTTTTTTTTTTTTTTTTTTTTTTAACTTTTTCAAGAAATCAATAATTTAATAACTTTTAGTATTAGATGAACACATGAACATCCAAATATTTTTTTAACTTATTGACTTTTTAATAAGTCAATAAGTTAATAAAAAGTTTTTAAATAAACACCAAACACCCAGTGGCGAAGTCAGGATCAAAGTAAATAAGTATCCCAAATTTTTTTCCAGGGTACTTCGGTTTCCCCGGTTCTGTTTCGGTTTTAAACCCAAACCATAATTAAATCTTTAGCTGACCTCAAGTCTTGTTATATAAACATGAAGTTGAAGTATCTTTTGATACTTGAATCGATGTGAGAATCAAAGTAGATATTAAATGAAGTATGAGGATATCAAGTGGGTCGTATTAGCTTCCTATTATAGCAAAAATGCATAAAATAGTCCTTTTTATAGCAAAAATGCATAAAATAGAATCTGTTCTTATTTTACATAGAACTAGTACAGTAATATATTTGGTAATAATAAACTTTAATATGAAATACATTACTACATGTATACATTTAACCCAATAAAGAAAGTAGTTAAAAAAAATTCTCATCAGTAAAATACAAACACATAGTATCCCAAGAATGATTGCAAATGTTTTTGTATTTTAGTTCATCAGCCGGCTATTGATGCTACCATAAAGCTAATTAATTATTTCTAGTTTATATTTACATTAAAATTATTCATTTGAAAAAGCATAACTCCATTGACTATCATCCCTCTAACCATTCATCACTTCTTATAAGTTTCAAACTTTTATGTTTTTTGTTACTTGTTTTTTCGATGCAAAGATAATAAAATATTAAATAGCAACAATACTATGATTTATATCTTGTTGCTAATTCTCATGAGCTCGATCAACTCAAGCCACGAACAAGCATTCTATGACGCTACATCTTGTCGCAAAGATGGCAATGCTCCAGGGACAAGGTACACTTGCACCAACACGACGTTGACCAAGATGTCATGCCAAACTTTCTTGATTTTCCGGTCAAACCGTCAGTTTCCGACCATCTCCACCATAGCCACCTTGTTTGGGTTGCCACCCAACACCTTGCTTGAATTAAACCACATAGATTCGAGTTCAGAATTTCTCCTTATGGATAGAGAAGTACTTGTTCCCGTTAGTTGTTCTTGCTCTAATAACTTTTTTCAAGCAAAAATAAATTATACAGTCATGGAAAACACGACACTTTCAGATACTGCATGTGGGGTCTTTGAAGGTTTGGTGAAAACAGTCACGCTTCTTGAGGAAAATCAAAATCAAGAAGTTTATAAGGTTGGTTTTGTTCTTAACGTGCCTTTAAAATGTGCTTGTCCTAATAATGGCTATAAATATTTGGTCACGTATCCTTTGGTTTCAAGAGATTCTGTAAAGCCGATAAGTACAAAATTTGGTATTTCTAAAGATGACATTTTCGCAGTTAACAATTTAAATAGTGATACGACTGTTTATCCTGAAACAACCATTTTGGTACCATTGCATTCAAAACCTACGATTAACTTTAATGTCCCTAGTTTTCAACCTCCAACACCAGGATTTTACCCGACAAATCCAACAGAAGGAAATGTCAAATCCATGAAACTAAAGAAAGTGTACATTGTTGTTTCGATCATTGGGTCGGGTTTAGTGGTGGCGATACTAATCGTGACATGTTTGTATATAAATGCGTTAAACAAATGCAAACGCGATATTTTTATAATACCATCAACCCTTAGAAGCTCTTTTAACTCGTTTTCAACACCTCCAATTAGCTCACCAAAAAGCCCGGTGACAAGAAGCTCACCGAGTTCATGTTTGTCACCTGATTTGCTAGCGGGAATAAAATATTCTTTGTATAATTTCAAAATCGAGGAAATTAGAAGAGCGACAAGAGATTTTAGTGAAGATTGTATTGTGAGTGAAGATATTTATAGAGGGTCATTCGATGATGTTCAAGTACTAATCAAAGAGATTGAATTCTCCGAAATACGCCATGTCATTGATCTCCATTCGAAAATTAACCATGTCAACATCATGAAGTTGCTTGGTGTATGTTACAATGAGTCTTCATGGTCATATCTTGTTTTGGAGCATCCATCAAACGGGAGTTTAAGGGATTGTTTGATTAACTCCTCGAGTTTGACTTGGACTCGAAGAACTCAAATCGCGTTTGATGTCGCAATGGGGTTGCACTACCTACATTATTGCATAGCTAATCCTTACATGCAAACAGGACTTTGCAGTGAAAGTATATTTGTGACGTCAACATGGAGGGCGAAATTGGCAGTTTTGTCAGGGAACACGAATCCATGCATCATGGGGTCATCAGGTTCAGAGCATGAAAATATTTTGGAATTCGGGATGATTTTGCTTGAGATTTTATCAGGGAAAGTGAACACTGACAAGAAATCGTTACGAGATTCGATCGGGTTTTTGGGAGGAGAGGGTAGTGGAGGAGGTTGTTTTGAGCATTTAAGAGGTTTTATGGACCCTTGCTTGAACGAGGATTACCCTTTGGCTGAGGCATTATGTTTAGGGGTCTT